GCTGTTAAATGTGTTTTCATTTAGTCACATTAAAATAAACTGAAATGTTCAGCATATTACCAAACAGCTCCATCAGTTCAGTGAATTATTTCAGAAAAACGCTCGCTTTCCATTATACTTCGTCACTCTTTCAGAAGTAACTTTAAAATGGGAATTGTAGATTTCTGGGGCAAGAGAAGCTGCAAGGCTTGAGAATCCATTGGGGCTAACTGAGTAGGTTTTACAACGAGTTCAAATGCTAACATGGACCAGTTGGTCAACTCTGTGCTGTAAGAAGCAGTGATTCTGTTCTCTAATAATCGCAGCTGTTTTTTTACCCTTTACAAATAAAGGAGCAAAGATATTGAAAATCCAATTCCCCTCCCTTCTGTCTGTTATCAGTGCAGACTTTGTGGGTTTAAACAAAGAGGATTAATTAGTCTCTCACTCTCCTCCAAAAATATCTAAAGCTACATCAGTCACACAATACAAACTGAAAATGATACAATTAAAGAACATCGTGAATTTCCATAATTATTAAAACAAAAGGAATAGTTACAAAAACAAAGTTGCTGGAAAAGCTCAGCAGGTCTGGCAGCATCTGTGAAGGAGAAAACAGAGTTAACGTTTCAGGTCCGGTGACCCTTCCTCAGAACTCAAAGGAATAGTTAAGTCCTTTTGTCTTTGAGAGTCATAGGACGGATTTCCCACTCCTCACTTGTAATTGCGATACATTGAGATAGCTGGGGATGGAGGGGTAGGGTTTTCACTGCAGAGTTCCTTTGAGGAGAAGACGATTGAGCTGGACATATAGACAAGGATTTTGAATCAGGTGGTCTAGTTCCTTTACAGGTGAACTAAGAACGTTAGAGTCAAGGTGCCTGGTTCTTTAATATAATTTTAAGCCACTTGGCTCTTGAAAGACAAATGAGGCACAACTTTACTCTGAAGCTTTTGCCTGGTTGATCTTCTGCAACAGTCCTAGGCATCTCTGAATTTTGAGATAAAGTGAGTTCAGTGTCAGAGAACCAGTTTCAGCCACATGATTAATGAACATTCATAGGAAGTAGAAGGTAAGTGGTGATCGTTGGCATTTGTGGATAGCTGGCCTCATCAGGTTTCCTTTTGGTTTGCAGCAAAACAGGTTCTTTGTGTCCATGAGATAACAAGGTGTAGAGTTGGATGAACACAGCAGGCCAAGCAGCATTGGAGGAGCAGGAAGGCTGACGTTTCGGGCCTAGACCCTTCTTCAGAAATGGGGGAGGGGAAGGGGGTTCTGAAATAAATAGGGAGAGAGGGGGAGGTGGATAGAAGATGGATAGAGGAGAAGATAGGTGGAGAGGAGACAGACAGGTCAAAGAGGCAGGGATGGAGCCAGTAAAGGTGAGTGTAGTTGGGGAGGTAGGGACGAGATAGGTCAGTCCAGGGAGGATGGACAGGTCAAGGGGGCGGGATGAGGTTAGTAGGTAGGAGATGGGGGTGCGGCTTGAGGTGGGAGGAGGGGATAGGTGGGAGGAAGAACAGGTTAGGGAGGCGGGGACAAGCTGGGCTGGTTTTGGGATGTGGTAGGGGGAGGGGAGATTTTGAAGCTTGTGAAGTCCACATTGATACCATTGGGCTGCAGGGTTCCCAAGCAGAATATGAGTTGCTGTTCCTGCAACCTACTGGTAGCATCGTTGTGGCACTGCAGGAGGCCCAGGATGGACATGTCGTCTGAGGAATGGCAGGGGGTGTTGAAATAGTTCGCGACTGGGAGGTGCAGTTGTTTGGTGCGAACCGAGCGTAGGTGTTCTGCAAAGCGGTCCCCAAGCCTCCGCTTGGTTTCCCCGACGTAGAGGAGGCCACAACGGGAATAGCGGATGCAGTATACCACATTAGCAGATGTGCAGGTGAACATCTGCTTGATGTGGAAAGTCTTCTTGGGGCCTGGGACTGGGGTGAGGGGGGAGGTGTAGGGGCAGGTGTAGTAATTCCTGCGGTTGCAGGGAAAAGTGCCGGGTGTGGTGGGGCTGGAGGGGAGTGTGGAGAGGACAATGGAGTCACGGAGAGAGTCACGGAGAACGCCCTCGACTGTGTCTCCCGCATTTCCCGCAACTCATCCCTCACACCCACTCCCCGCAATAACAACCAAAACAGAATCCCCCTCGTCCTCACGTACCACTCCACCAACCTCCGGATCCAACGCATCATCCTCCGACACTTCCGCCATCTGCAATCCGACCCCATCACCAAAGACCTTTTTCCCTCTCCACCCTTATCTGCTTTCTGGAGGGACCACTCTCTCCGTGACTCCCTTGTCCGTTCCACACTCCCCTCCAGCCCCACCACACCCGGCACTTATCCCTGCAACCGCAGGAAGTGCTACACCTGCCCCTACACCTCCCCCCTCACCCCCATCCCAGGCCCCAAGAAGACTTTCCACATCAAGCAGATGTTCACCTGCACATCTGCTAATGTGGTATACTGCATCCGCTGTTCCCGTTGTGGCCTCCTCTACATCAGGGAAACCAAGCGGAGGCTTGGGGACCGCTTTGCAGAACACCTACGCTCGGTTCGCACTAAACAACTGCACCTCCCAGTCGCGAACCATTTCAACCCCCCCTCCCATTCCTCAGACGACATGTCCATCCTGGGCCTCCTGCAGTGCCACAACAATGCTACCAGTAGGTTGCAGGAACAGCAACTCATATTCCGCTTGGGAACCCAGCAGCCCAATGGTATCAATGTGGATTTCACAAGTTTCAAAATCTCCC